TAAACTGTATAATGAAATTGTTGTACTAAAAATAATTGATATATAATTACAGATTTCTCAAAAGGTATTAAAATATACAACTAGAAACTCATAGGAGCCTGAATCTCCCATCTGGCAAAAACATGCCATTTTGATGTTTATTCTCACCTTTATTGGAATCATTTGTCTTTATATGTAGATATTTTACAACTGTTTTATCTCTATCTATTATTGTACCCAAGAGAAATATACAAATAGTAATAACAACAACAAAAAAATCAAGAGGCTCATGCGAGCCTGATATCGCTCACCTGTAATTTCAGTTTCAGGCATTTGACTTATTTGTAGATCTTACTTTGCTGAACAATTTTGTCATTTACACTTTCTCTCTTTCTATAATAATATTAAAGATAATACATAACCCAAAACTGTAAAATTTCCAAAAAAAAAACCCTATTTCTGGACAGTTACACAACAATAAGTTGTCCTATTGGTCTGAAGATTACTTGACAGGCAGATCTAAACCTGTTTAACATTTTCACCTATGTCAGTTTTGCTCTTACTGCTTTAGTTTTTGAGATGAAAACCAAAAACTTCATTTGACCCCTATGTTCTATTTTTAGAAACTGTCGCCATGTTTTCGAATGGATCAAATCCCCGAATGCAATCTATTGACTAGATACCCTAAGGAACACTCAATTAAAGTTTTAAAGTAGTTTCAGAGAAGATTTTTTAAAAAGTAATTAGACACACAAAATGTAAAAAAAAAAAGAAGTTTTAAGGGCAATAACTCCTTAAGGGGTCAATTGACTATTTTGATCATGTTGACTTATTTGTAGATCTTACTTAGCTAAACATTTATTGCCATTTAGATAGATCATAACCCATTTATCACTTTAACTCCCTTTCAATTTTGCTCTAACTGCTGTAGTTTTTGAGATATAAGATTTTGTCCCCTATGTTTTATTTTTAGCAAAGGCGGCCGTGTTTGTTGATGGATCAAAACTTCGGATACAATTTACAACTTAGATACCCTAAGGAACATTCAGTTAAAGTTCCGAAATATTTGGACCAGTAGTTACAGAGAAGAAGATTTTTGAAAAAGTAATAGACTTACACAAAAGAATGTAAAAAATACACGTTTCAAGGGCAATAACTCCTTAAGGAGTCAACTGACTATTTTGATCATTTGACTTATTTGTAGATCCTACTTAGCTGAACATTTTTGCCATTTACACTTTCTATCTATTATAATATTAAAGATAATAACCAAAAACAGTAAAATTTCATAAAAATGAACTATTTCGGACAGTAACCCTACAATGGGTGGTCCAATTTGGTCTGAAAATTTCATAACAGATAGATTTTGACTTATTCATCACTTTAACTCCATGTCACTTTTGTTCTAACTGCTATAGTTTTTGAGATAAAAGACACAAAAATGCATTTGACCACTATGTTCTATTTTTAGCCATGGCGGCCACGTTTGTTAACTTTTTTGTAGATTTTACTTTGCTGAACAGTTTTGCTGTATACAGTTTATCTTTATCTTCAATAATATTCAAGATAATAACCAAAAACTGCAAAATATTTTTTAAATTACCAATTTAGTGGCAGCAACCCAACAATGGATTGTTCGGTTCGTCTGAAAGTTTCAGGGCTGATACATCTTGATCTATTGAAAATTTTTAACCCGTCAGATTTGCTCTAAATCTTTTAGTTTTTGAGATATAAGCCAAAAAGTGCATTTGGCCCCTATGTTCTATTTTTAGCCATGGCGGCCATATTTGTTGATGGATCAAAACTTCGGATACAATTTATAAACAAGATACCTTAAGGAACATTCAGTTAAAGTTTGAAGGTATTTTGCCCTGTAGTTTCAGAGGAGAAGATTCTTGAAATAGTTTACGACGACGACGACGGACGCCAAGTGATGGCATAAGCTAAAATGGCCCTCGAAGGGCCAGGCCATCGTTTCACAAAAAATCGTACGACTATCTTAGATCGTACGTCGGTCGTATGTCAAATCGTAAGTTTTTGACCGTTTCATAAAAAATCGTAAATAAGATTTTGTCGTAGATTCGATCGTAAACTTACGAGTGGTAAATGGTAGTCGTAAGTCAAAATGTAGTGGCTTAACCTGTTGACATTTTCTTAAAATCAACAACATTACATTATCTTATAGAAAAATTAAGTTCCATGAACAGAAGACATATATTCATGTTATTTTGTCCCAATCATAAGTAACTGAAATTTTAAATTCCCAAAGCAATCGTAAATTTATCATTCCTACATTTGATTTTTAATTAATTGAAACATTAAAAACGAGCACCTTGATTCCAAATTACGTACATATAAGCTATGTCAAGCTAAAATTGTAATCATCCTCGATAATGCATGTCCTGCGTTTATACACTAGGTATACGGCGGAGGACGGTGCCCTTTATTTAACAGAAATTTTCATGCAAACTACGATTAATTGCAAACAAGTATACCAGTCCAGGAATTGAGAAAACAGTAATTTGAATACATGCATGTCACGAATCACATGATGTAGTGGGGTAGAGTTGTATATTATGAACGTAAGTTTAGTCGTAAACGTAAGTCGTACGTTTTTTTTGTGAAACGCTAGCCAGGTGAGCTAAAAAAGGTTACAAACTGTCAGGTAATGGTATTAAGTGCTACAATGAGTTAATTGAGGATTTTGGTCATGTTGATTTATTTGTAGATCTTATCCTGATGTTCTTGCTTGCTCCTTACAGTTTCTATGTATTTTAGTTTTCTTTATTATTTCCAAAACGCTAAATTTTTATTTAAGTTGTTAACGAAGGGCATTTATCCTATAAAAGAAATACAAAAGATACCAAAGGGATATTCAAACTCACAAGTCGAAAACGAACTGACAATGTCATTGCAAAACAATTATGAAAAAAGACCAAAAGACAAACAACAGTATACAAGATACAACAGACTGAGTAATACGAACCGCACAAAAAAAACCGGAGTTGCTCTTAGGTACTCCGACATGGGCCTGTTCCACATTTGACATCGGTCGTGTTGCTCATGTTAGTACAAGCAAGGTGATACGTCTAATTCAGTAGGTCACATTCGAGTAAAAGAGTACGGGATTGTTACTAAAATAGTTGGAACATATAAGTCGTCATCTGTAAAACAGACGGTTAACCAACTTGTGATGGCGTTTGTAAAACTCGAAGGTAGGATTTCAAAGTGTCGATTAACTATTCCATTTCCCTGATTTTTTTGTGTATTATATATTGAAAATCTTGCTGTTTACAGTTTCTCTCCGTTATAATTTGGAAGATAATACTTATCTAAACACGGTTAGAAAAAAAATAATCATTTAAGGGCAGTAACTCTTACATAAAATACGATTGACAATTTCGATGTAAGTCTTTTCATTTGTAGATCTGGGTTATCTGATCGTTTTCACAATTTTCAGCTTCTCTCTATCTATGATAATTTCAAGATGATTGCCGGCATTATCTAATAAGGTGTCGATTGACAATTTTGGTTGATTCCCTCATTTATAAATCTTATCTTGCTTATTATTTTTGCTATTAACAGATTCTCTCTATCATATTTTTTTTAAGATAATTGCCAAAAAACGTAAGAAATTGATAAAAAAGCAACATCATACAGGAAGTCGATTGACAATTTCGGTCATGTTAACTTGTTTATAAATCTTAGCTTGCTCAGTATTAGTTGTCATCAGTTTCCCTCCTACCTGTTATTGTCTTCAAGCAAACAACAAAAACGGCGAAACACTGGCAAAACTTGTATTTTAAGGAAACTCCAAACATAAAAGGAGTCAATATAATTAATAATCAATTGATTGATTGATTGATTGGTGTTTAACGCCACTTTCAACACTATTGTGCTATTACGTGGCGGTCAGTTTTTATTGGTGAAGGAAGCCAGAGTGCACAGACAGAACCACCGACCTTCGGTAGGAAAACTGACAATCATATTCAATTAATATTGGGAGTTGAGTGCACATGCCCCGTACGGGATTCGAACTCACAACCTCATTATGAGCATAAGGAATTTCATCTGATAATTTATAAGAAAAAGGGTAGCGGGTATATCTTGATATTCTGAACTGTTTAGCCCCTGCTAGATTTTTCTGTCTATTACGGTTGACAAGATATTAAATAATAACTTGAATTTTACCAATTATTTATTCATAGCCTTTGAGGCCATGTTTTTTTTATTGGCAGGACTACACAAGAATGCACGCATTGTCGTGCTAAGCATACCCCACTCGTAATTTAAAGTATCAGAAAACAGGAAGTTGGTGTCAGAAAGCTCTCACACGTAACACCTCATCCCTGTCAAGCTGCTGCCCATATATAAAGTCACTCTGTTCAGTTTGTTTTCGATAAAAGTGTGGTGAACATAGTTGTTCTTATCCAAGTTTTGAAAAGTTCAAATATCGGCAAACAGTACATAGGTGTCTCACAGATCCAAAAAGCATCCGCACGTTACAACTCATCATTGTCAATCTTGAATCACACATTTCCTTGAGTACGTACCGTCCCTAGGTGTAGTAGAGAAACCTACGCTATTCTCAAAACCTATTTCTGCAGTATATATTATTTTCTGTGAACAACACTGAACTTTTGTAGCTTTTATGTTTGTTTTTCTCTGAATCAAGTACGAGGAGGTTTGCGAGAACTTTAAAGTTCACAATCCTAGAGAATTATTCCTTGCTGCCAGCTGTTGCTGCTAAAAAAACAAATATATACATTCCCAATAATAAAATATGAAAAATTTATAGCAAAAAAAAATAATGTAATAATATAAAAATGCAGATAAATTCAGGTGAGATGACATTTTCCACATCTCTGCAGTAGCAACCCTTATATCCTTTTTTTATTCATGAAATAACCTGTATGAATTTATAATCTATATTAAGGTGAATGTTATGTTAAAATATATAAGGTAATCGATCTTTATCTTTATAAGGGGAGCTTATTTAATTAAGTATGAGGAAATAGTTTACCTGTGCTGTCATGGCCTCGCCGGTGAATGAATGCGATGTTTATACATGTCCCATATGTTTAGAAACACTTAAATCTCCTAAAAGTTTACCATGTTTACATAATTTTTGTGAAATATGCATCGGTGAGTTTATTCTATCAACAGAACGTCGATCAGGACATAAACTTTCGAGTTACCCTTGTCCCGTTTGTAGATTAGTTGTTACGCCCATCAACCCAGAAAACGATACTTCGAAGTGGGTATCGTCTCTTCCGCACAGTTTACAAATGGGTCTATCAGAAAGTACGAAACAGGAATGCAACATGTGCAAAAAGCAAAACAATTTGAATACAGCAACACACTGGTGTCGGGACTGTGTTGAAGCGTTTTGCGAGGTGTGTTTACGTCTCCATAATCTTATGAAGTTTTCTGCAGATCATAAAGTTGTGAAAATCGAAGAAATAAAAATGTGCGCTAGCGGAAGCGAGTCTGATTTCAGTCTAATTTCTGATTCGTGTCCGATTCACAAATCAAAAATCTTGGAAGCGTTCTGTTTTGGCCATCAGAAACTATGCTGCGTGCTCTGTCTAACATTGCTACATAGAAAATGTGAAACTGTTCATGCTATTGATGAAATTCAATATCTGAACAAAAGTAGTATATTGTCATCGCTGGAATCGGAACTAATCGAAATGAAAAATAAAGTAGATGAATTAAAAGAGGCAAAATGGCTCCACAAGGAAAAACTAGACGTCGTCTTCACAGAAATGGAATTAAACGCGAGAAAACATGTTGTATGTTTGAAAGAGAAACTAGATAGTCTATTGGACGTCTTTATAAAGAAACTGAACTTAACACGTGACGAACAGAGACTGTCTTCTGAAGAAAAGACGGAGGTAATTGATAAACTCTCGAGTTATATTGAACAATTACAAAACGTGTCAAAAACGGCCCAAGAGCATTGTAATTTAAATCAAACATTTATTTTCTTTGAAAAATCCAAAATTCAGCTTAAATCTGTAGTCCAGGAGGCAAGGGAGGAAATCAATATACAGTCAGTTAATAATGCTGAATTTATTTTTAGCAAAACACTGGACCAAGTTTCAAGTGTTGATTCTCTTGGTGATATTAAGTTTTCAAGATCTAATTCGATTGATAGTGATGAATTTACTAGACAGTTATACCCGTTAAAAAGTTTTTTACTGGACAAAAGTAGGCCTCCACTTTCTTATTACAACATTTCGTTTAACCATAATAAGACGGTTAATTTAAAAGGCTTTACCATATACGGATGTGTTTTTGCTTCGGAGACCATAGTTATTTTAGGTGGAAGTGAGACATGTAAAGGGGTTTTAACAGGAAACATTAAGGCTCTTGACATAGCAACTGGAAATATCACATCAGAATATATTATCGCGGAAACTGTCAAAAGACTTGCTTATGATTTCGAGAGTGCATCTCTATTTGTTTCATGCTATGGTTCAAAACTGCAATATTTGAAGTTTGTCAAAGATTTCAGGGCACGAGTAAATCTAGAAAGAATTACTAACAGCGTTGGAGGTACATGTGTATTTGAAAAGAATTTGTATGTAATTGTTGAAAAAGCCGTGCAAAAAGTAAGCATCGAAAAGTTAAAGGAAGACGTCATTCTAGAAACATGTTTTAAGACTGATACCGTCTGTACATCTCTTAATGGACTTGAAATTGACTGCAAGAATAAACGTTTACTATACACATCTTCCGATTTTGGGGTAGTGTGTTCGTCATTAGAGGGTCATACAATCTTTTCGTATAAAGATAAGAATATGAAAAGTTATTGCTTAGCCATCTTTTCACAAGGAGACATATTAATAGGTGATAACAGTGGCTCGGTACATGTTTTATCAAAAGACGGTAAACAAAGAAGAACTGTTATCAAGAAATGTAAAAAAGTGGTCCCCATTTGGGATATTTGTTTAGACAAATCTAATACGAGTTCGGTTATTTGTGGACCTGACTTCATGGAAATATATGACATTGTTTCTACTAAATAAAAGATATATCATTTGAAGATATCGTTAGAAGTTTGATATAAAACTGATTAATTATCGATCAGTATACTTAAGTACAGATACATATAGCAGTAAAAGTTAGAAAAATGCAAAAAAAAAATTAATAATGCTTTAATTCTCAATTTTAAAGTTTCTTTAGGGATAAAATAGTCATTGGCCAGGAGTCTAAAACATTTTGTTAGTGGTTTAAAGTTATAATATGCCCAACTAGTTGTATGTTTAAATGTTATTGTTATATATTTTGTTTTTGTAATCATTATTTCATTTCATGTCGCAAACCCAAAATCATGTGGTTTAATCACTTAACTAAAATATTGAATTAAATTATGAATAAAAAAAAATGAATGCTTCAATGTTGGGTGTTTGATACTACTTTCAGCACACAATGCAATATAATAGTAATCAGTTTACTAGTATATTGGTGGAGGAAGCTGGAGAAAACCTCCAATCTTCGGCAAGAAAAACCTAGTAAATTGCCATGGGCGGGGCTGGAACTCACAACCACAGTGCTGAGGTGCTGGTGTTCACTGAAGATAAACTACTGACCCCTTGGCCACGAGACCCCTGAATTAAAAAGAAAAGTATGGGATACGTTAATGTGACAGCAATAAAACAAAAGACATCATTGTTCACCCAAAATAATCATAATATAGAAATGATCGAACGCAAAGTAAATTTGGTATGAATACAGTTGTTTATGATTTCATGAAAATCTGAAAATTAAAGCGTTGGCTATACCATAATTTATTTTCTACACACACGAGAAATCAAAATATTTACTGTCAATACCTTCACAATTTAAAAAAAAGTTAAATCATGTTGGTGCTATGCAGGACTACGAAGCTATGGCCAATTTCTCCTGAATTTATTTCACACCGGGCCATTTACTAAACGTTTATTTTTTTTACTGAAATTCAGTATATATATTGCAATTTTTTTTTGTGAACTTAAAGTTTTAACAATATTTGTGTTTATTCCGAACATTTGAGCAAACTATAAATGCCACATGTCAGAACTGCAATGTTGATACATTATGCCAATTTTAAGTAATTCTCTAATATAATGAATACGAAGGACATACAAAGGGGAAGAAGATACAAATGGGTCAATCAAAAACTAGAAATCGAAGAAAAAAGGACAACGCCATGGCCAAAAACATACGACGGAAGAGAAACAGTAATCAACAAACACTACATAAAAAGCTAAAGATTAAACCAAAGTACCCCACCAAAAAATAGGGTGACCTCATGTGCTCATAATGGTTAAACGTTCATGTTTCATATGTGATACCCGCAAAGTTCCTCATATTAAAATATGGTGATGAGTCATATCTGGAGATTTCACGGCGATTTTAAAGCTATCACTTGTCGTCATGGTAACTTTCCTTTGCATGGTCATTCTTTCACTTGTCATCAAAGTAACTTGGTTTTTCATGGTAATTTACTCACTTGTAGTCAGGGTTACATTGCTTTTAATGGTGAAATATCTAAAGTATCGGCAAACAAGAAGTAGATGTCCGACAGATCCAAATATTGCTCACACGTTACAAATCATCGCATTCAAACTGTTAACCAAATATGAAGTCATTGAGTTCATGGTTCTATGAGAAATGTCTGAACAACATATTTGTTTGACGAACGGACAAGGTGATTGCAATATAGCCCCTACTTCTTTTAGACTAGCTGTATAAAAAAACTCTGTCGAAACTTGATAATCTAAGGTCATTCAGCCCTAGTTTGGTTGATATGTCCATTCGTTTCAGAGAAGATTTGTTAAAGGTTTAACTACAACGCAACGGATCGACGCCACATGGTCAAAAGGATCAGGTGAGCTTAATAAGTGAATAATATAAGCGTGTAAAATTATTGCTTAACATCGTTTTAGTTTGAAACTCCCTCAGGCAACTTTGAGCTTATGTTGTTCTGTTTATGTTGTATTGGTGAAAGATTATTGGCCCCTCCTGGGTATCATTTGATTAGTCGTACTGACAAGAATTTGGTACAGAATGTTGACATCGTATTTCAATCAACTGTGCTCCTCTGCTGGCTTACTTTGGTTGTTTTTATTATGAAAGACCGACTCCATACACATACTCCTGAAGATTAAAAGTATATGCATCAGTATAACACAAAGTCGTAATGCAAAAAGTATGTCAACCAGAACGAAACATCTAATCCACCTGCCAGTCATCATTTTACATTTATGTATCAAAACATTTTCTATTCTAAATTACACAAAAAATTCCTGAAAAGTACAATTTCCATGAATTTTTCTTATTCTAAGGGCTAATTCTCCCAAAACATCAATCAACAGAAACACATTATAAGTCCTTCTTTAAGCCATCCTAACATACTAATGTACCAAAAGTCATACCAATATACTGGCATAACCAGAAAAAGTTCAGAAACATGTTTGGTTTCAAATCAACGGAATGCCGGGATAAAGACATGACGGTAATAATAAACATGCTATATATACTACAGCACTGAGGGAGCCTATATTGCTCACCCGACATTTTTGTCAAATAACATTGATACAATGCAACATAAATATTTTTGTTAAAAATTATGATTGGCGACAAAAACTCCAGTTATGAGTCAAATGATGATAATTTGACTCATCTGTCATCTTGTGTTGCTGATATTGTTTGTTGTTTGATGTTTCAGTCTATTCATTATAGTTTTCCAGATTCACTATATTAGTAAAAATTAGACATTTGAGGGTAATAATTTCTCTAAGAAGTTGATTGACAATTTTGGCCTATATGAACTATTTGTTAAATTGTCATGCTAATAAGTTTTGCTTTTTTGAGTTTCTTTCTTTTTTTAAACAGTTCCTGGCATTGTACCCTAATGTACTTCTTTTACTCTTTTGTGAGCGGGCATTATCAACTCTAGATTTAAAGTAGACATCAAAAATTTGCTTGTTACCAACTTTGGTCTGGTTGCTTCAGAGAAAATAGATTTTTTTTTAAATGAAAACTTCAAGACTACGAAGGATGCCAAATGATGGATATCTCACACGGCCCTAAAGGATCAGGGGAGTTTATTTTGAAGATATCAACATTCTGCTGTATATCTTGGCTTGAAAGTAAGGGTTAAACAAAGGTTATTAATTTTGAAGTTGGACATCTTTCCATAGGTTTGTTAGTCTTGTATGTTTTTTTTTAAACTTTGGTTCATTTATGTGTTTGAGAGTTAAGTGTGACGTCCATTTTCGCTGAACTAGTATACATTTTTGTTTAGGGGCCAGATGAAGCCCGCCTCCGGGTACGGGATTTTCTCGCTGTGTTGAAGACCCATATGGGCCTTGGGCTGTTTTCTGCTCTTTTATCGGGTTGTTGTCTCTTTGACACCATCCCCGTTTCTGTTCTCAATTTTACCTTACAGTCATTTAAAACACCAAATATAGTGCTTAAAGTATACAAGAAACAGACCAAACCATGAAAACTTTATATTGAACAACGAACCATGAAAATGAGGTAAAGGTCAGATGAACCCTGCCAAACAGACATGTACACCTTACAATCATTCCATGCTTTAAATATAGTTGACCTATTGCATATAGTATATAAGAAACAAACTTAACCAGGAAAACTTAACATTGACCATTGAACCATGAAAATGACGTCAAGGTCAGATGATAACTAACAGACAGACATAAACACCTTACAATCATTCCATACACGAAAAATAGTTGACCTATTGATTATAGATTAAGATAAACAGACTCCATGGAAATGAGATGTGCCAATGCTAATACAACTGCATACCAAATACCATTGACTTATCATTAGTCGTTCCCTTTAAACATACCTAAACACAAACATTAAGTTGTAAACAACGTAAAAGTTTCAAAGTCAATGAACCATGATGAGGGGGTGGGGCAATATAATCTCAAGGGAAAAGAGACTTGCAAATGCCAATAAATTTGCATACCAAATATTTTTGACCTACCACTAGTGGTTCACCATAAACTAGACCTAATCACAAACTAATACATTGTTGACGCCGCCGCCGCCGACGCCGGAAACACCATACCTATGTCTCGCTTTTTGACTCCGTCAAGGAGAGACAATAAAAGCATGTGAGATGAAATTTCCCAAATCTCTGGAGTAGCAACCCTTATATACTATTATTTTTTTACATCAAATAATCTGTATGACTTCATATCTATATTTAGGTTTACTATATGAATGTTATGTAAAAGTATATTATCTTTATAAGGGGAGCTTATTTAATTAAGTATGAGGAAATAGTTTACCTGCGCTATCATGGCCACGCCGGTGAATGAATGCGATGTTTTTACTTGTCCCATATGTTTAGAAACACTTTAATCTCCTAAAAGTTTACCATGTTTACACAAGTTTTGTGAAAAAATGCATCGGTGAGTTTATTTTATCAACAGAACGTCGAACATAAACTTTCGAGTTACCCTTGTCCCATTTGTAGATTAGTTGTTACGCCCAACAATCCAGAAAACGAAACTTCGCAGTGGGTATCGTCTCTTCCGCACAATTCACCATTGGGTCAATCAGAAAGTACCAAACAGGAATGTAACATGTGCAAAAAGCAAAACAATTTCAATATAGCTTCACACTGGTGTCGGGACTGTGTTGAAGCGTTTTGCGAGGAGTGTTTACGTCTCCATAAACTTATGAAGTTTTCTGCAGATCATAAAGTTTTGAAGATTGAAGAAATAAAAATGTCTGCCGGCGGAAGTCAGTTTGATTTAAATTTGATTTTTGATTCCTGTCCGATTCAGAAATCTAAAATCTTGGAAGCGTTCTATTTTGACCATCAAAAACTATGCTGCGTGCTGTGTCTAACATTGCAACATAGAAAATGTGAAATGTTCATGCTATTGATGAAATTCAATATCTGAACAAAAATAATATATTGTCATCGCTGGTTTCTGAACTAATCGAAATTAAAAATAAAGTAGATGAATTAAAAGAGGCAAGAGGGTTTCACAAAAAAAACTAGACGTCGTCTTCACAGAAATGGAATTAAACGCGAGAAAACATGTTGTATGTTTGAAAGAGAAACTAGATAGTCTGTTGGACGTCTTTATTAAGGAACTGAACTTAACACGTGACGAACAGATACTTTCTTCTGAAGAAAAGATGGACGTATTTGATAAACTCTCGAGTTTTATTGAACAATTACAAAACGTGTCAAAAACGGTTCAAGAGCATTGCACTTTAAATCAAACATTTATTTTCTTTGAAAAATCCAAAACTGAGCTTAAATCTGAAGTCAGGGAGGCAAGGGATGTAATCAATGTAAACGCAGTTAACAATGCTGACTTCATATTTAGCAAAACACTGGACCATATTTCAA